TTAAAAAAAAAAAAAATTTAGGATCCTCCTGTCTCAGTCTCCAGTGCAGCTGGAACTATAGGCCTTCAGTATTGCTAAAGATATTGTAATGAATTATATGCCTGAAATATTTATCAGAGACTGAAATGTAGTTACTTCTTACTTCACAGCTCAATTAAAAAAAAAAAATTAAGTAGGATACTCCATTTCCAAGAATAAAACAGATTAGATAAAAAAGAATTTTTTTCTGTAATTTTTGAAAGCACTAACAATAGAAAAATCAGATCATTTGTTGGTGAGTTAAGGAACCTAGAGGTGTAAATGACTCAAAAAAATTGTTGCTGCCCTAGGAGTATTTACTATACCAAGATAATTTGAGTTGATGTTTACAAAGTCTTAAGAAGTATTAGAGAAACAGAAGACAAGTCCAGATTTCATTTAAAGTAAGGAATAATTATAGTAGAGCTTTACTAGCCTAGGTTTCATTCCAAGTAAGGAATGTTTATAATAAGAGCTTATTAGAGTTGGAGTTACCAAGAAAGTAATTTACTTTTTCACAAGGGACTTGCCAAGTTTCTTAACAATGAGTGTATGCCAAGTATTTGTGGAGGGGGAGCTATTATAACAATTTGTTACCATATGCTACTGCTCATGCCAATCTGCAAAGTATCAAGGTACACTTAAAGCTGTGAATACAATTTAAAGTTAACCTACTTGGTAGCACTTTTAGGTAACTGTCAGAAACCAATGTAAATCTTTCCTGTGAGAATACACCTTCATTATAGCCCTTAAAGAAATCCTGTTAACAATCTTTTCAGGATAATGAATAATACACAGTCAAAAATAACCTAGTGCTGGGCGCAGTGGCATATCCCAGTGGTTGGGTAGGCTGAAACAGCCTCCTGTCTCGGGAGTTCAAAGCCAGCCTCAGCAAAAGTGAGGCACTAAGCAACTCAGTGAGACCCTGCCTTTAAATAAAATACAAAATAGGGCTGAGGATGTGGCTCAGTGGTTGAGTGTCCCTGAGTTCAGTCCCTGGTAGTCGTCCCTCCCCAAATTATGTAGGAAATAAAGTGCAATCAATGAGAACCTGAAGAAACAACAGCAGAAATAGATCCACAAGGACTTTAATTATAGAATTATCAGAACAAGATTATAAAATATTTATGCTTTCTATGTTTAAATAAAGAAAAGAAAAAGTAGAAATTTGTGGGGACAAGGGTATGCAGTACTGCATACATGGCATACCTTAAGGGCGTCTGAGTGGCAGGCCACTTGCCTTATGCTAGGCGCGGAAGCAGGAGACCCCTTACCCATAGGCACAGCCCTGGGTGTGAGGCCATGTGTTGCAGTCCCTGTGCTTGCTCCACAGCCCACTCCTTGATTGGTCACTGCAAGGACAGTTAGCAAGAAAGTGTATTGGTGGCTGCCTATAATCTGCCTAGCTACCGCCTGAGTACATGATAACTGAGCAATAAAATCAAACCTGCTTCTTGCTCAGTTTCTGGAGGTCTTGATTAGCAACTCTGCAGCCACACTCTTCTCTACCCTGTTCTGTGGACCTCTTTGCTGGATGAGAGAGAGCCTACACAATAATTTTCCAAAAGTGTCTTACCTTATTTTGAAAAAATTGTCAAAATTTAACCCTCAATGGTTAGGTTTAAAAGTTGGAAGAGAAAATTAATGAATTGGAAGATAAGTCACAAGAAACTCTGTAGGAAAAAAGAAGAAGAAGCAGCTCTCTAGAATGGGACAGAGAAAAAAAGGCCCCAAATTTGGAAGTTAATGTATATGAAAGAGAGAATGATTAGGTCTAACAAGCACATTATTGGAGAATCAAAAAGAAAAAAAAATGATAAAAGGTAATACTTGAAGAGATAATGGACGAGAACTTTCCAGAATTCATAAGAAACCAATCAGCAGATTCAAGCAGTTTAATGAATCCGAGAGAAATAATAAACTATTTATAGGGTTAAAAAAAGAATTAAAATTATAGATCAAAGTAAATAAAAAGTCAGGTTAAGTTCTTAGAATTAAAGTGTTTTAAGATCCTTGTATTGTCTAGATCAATTCCATATTGGTAGAATATGTTGTAATTTTAAGGTAACTATTAACATGACATAACATAACAGTATTTAACAAAATCTAGTAAAAGGGAAAAAGATTAAAACATTTTATCTAAAAGCAAGAAAGGAGAGGGGACAAAAAGATGGCAGAGTAGAGGAAAGCTGCATTCCAACCACTCCATGGCTCAGGACCAAAGCAGCAGGTGCACAGCTTCTCAGTGAGGTGATTAAAAAAACAAAAAAGGACTTCACTAAAACTCAACATTGGTCTCTTAAAGTAGCTTAGGACTCAGCTTGGTACAATAAACAAATAAAAAAGACTATATTAGAGCTGACCAGGCGCTGTGGTGCAAATTTACCACAGAGGAAGGAGGAACACAGTTTTGGTACAGAAAAACCTGAGATTAAAAAATGCCACCTAGCTGCACTGTGTACCTGTGCTTGAAAAGTGCATTCTGTATCTCAACCCATCTTGGAGAGCTGGACAGAAGCCCTGGAGATCAGAAACAACAACAAACATAACCACAGTATCCTGGCAGTCACCTAGCCTGTAGCCTAGGCTGTGCTGGCGGACTGTGAGTGAAACAGTTGCTGAGTAGACTGTACCCAGAGAGATTCAAGTTGGAAGGGCAAAGAGGAGCCCAACTAGCTTCTCCTTTTTGAAGTGGTGCTTCTCGGCAGCAGAGAGTGAAGGATTGGCCTGGCCTCCTTGCCTCACAATTGGTTTTCTTGGTAGGGTAATAAGAACCAGATGCACATCAGAGATGGGCTACTGTCAAGCCCTACAGCTGGGTAGATTTAATCTCTCCAAAGCCAGTACCACCCAACAAAGCCCCTGAGTTTAGGTCAGACCTAAAGCCCACCTGGAACTGCCCTCACAGAACTCTGCAGAAGCTGTTCTCTGGGAGTGCACCAAACTGGTCTGAATGGACAAAATGCCAACTGACAGTACTTCCTCATTTATCCCAATTTATACTGGTGAGAAGGGAGGCTAAACCTTGTACCAAAAGGCTTCAATGTTAAGCCAATCCAACTGGCAGCTCAGACAGCAACATAAAAACAGGAAGGGGTTCACAATCCTCACCTCTTGCTCTATCAGTACATAACTCAAGAAGAACTGGAAAGAAAGACAGTTTTGACCACCTACATGAAGACAGTTCCTTTATTCTTCATTAATTTTCAAATTTATTTTATTATTCTTTCTTTGTGTGTGCACATGTGTGTGAAATCTTGTTGTGCTGCTGATTGGTTCAGGGATATATATACATATACTTGTTTCTTTTTCAACATTTTAAAAATGTAATTATTTTTTCCTAGAACTGTCTTTTGCAGGTTCAGGTTGGTTGGTTTGTTTTTTATTTCATATTTTGGTTTGGTTTTGTATTATTTTCATTTATTTATTTCTCTCGTTTCTCTTTCTTCTACTAACAGCCAAATTCTATGGTTCTCTGTCCCTCTCTCTCAATGCTTTGCTTCTTCTATTTTTTCTCCTTTTGTACAAACATCACCCGCTATATCTCTTCTGTAGTCTCTGTTCACTTTTTGAAACTGTAAACTCTTTTCAAACTTCTAACACATTGCTTTGCAACTAATTAACTGTATTTTTACCATATTTCAGAACTAACTGGATTATATAATTCATCCACCACCCCTCACACTGATACTATCATTACTGCTGTGGATGATATATTTGACACCTGCTGAACTGCTTTAAAGCCAGTTCTAGTCATTGTTATTGTTTCTACTGTTGTCAATTGCTGAACCACCATTCCTGTTTATTATTGTTGAAGATGTCATAGTAGGAACTGGGTATTTACTTTAACAATATGTCTTTATTTTTTTTTGGGGGGGGGGCGTACCGGGGATTGAACTCCGGGCAATCGACCACTGATCCACATTCCCAAACCTATTTTGTACTTTATTTAGAGATAGGGTCTCACTGAGTTGCTTAGTGCCTCACTTTTGCTGAGATTGGCTTTGAAATCACAGTCCTCCTATCTCAGCCTGCTGAGCCGCTGGGATTACAGGTGTGCACCAACTACACCCAGCAACACTGTATCTTATTTGCAAGGTTATTATTATTGTTTATTTCACCCTATTCTATGAGATGTTAGGAACCTAGAGGAACACTAAAAGTTCACAGATCAGAGACTCTGCTGCTAGACTAAACATTCCCTGACATTACTTCAACTCAAAGAAGTGAGGAGACAAAAGCCCCAAACCAAAAACCAGGACCCAAGAAGGAACAATCAGAGAGGGACCTCAGGTCCTACCTCCTGTTTTGATGTATGAGTAGATAAGTCCAAGAACAAATGAGATAATTACTAGAGAGAGAGAGAGAGAGAAAGAGAGAGAGAGAGAGAGAGAGAGAGAGAGAGAGAGAGAGAGAGAGAGAGAAATC